GTTGATTTCCTTTAGGATTGACTGGTTTCATCTCCTTGCTGTCTAAGGGACACTTAAGAGTCTTCTTCAGAACCACAGTTTGAAAGCATCAATTCTTTCAAGCTCAGCCTTCTTTATGGTCCAGCTCTCATATTCCTACGTGACTACTGGAAAAACCATAGCTTTGACTGTAGGGACCCTTGTTTATATTTGTTAATATTTATGATATATTTTTATCCAAAAGTATATTCAGAAGCATACCTTAACATCATTTATAAAAACAGGGCATTTGTTTTTGAAAAATTAAATAATAAAAATGAAATTAATCAGACATGAATCTGAAGGCAGATTCTTTTTTCTAGTAACTTGCAGGGCTGTCAGCAGGGACAGTGAGTCACATGACTCACCTGGTTTGTTTTGTTGCCTGATTTCCTAGTGTCAAAGAAACTGTTTATTTTATATAAAAAACATCTACATATTTGTTTTTGGCTTTTTCAAAAAGGAGGGTAAATCTGGCTTCAGTTACTCTATCTTGGCTCAAATCAGAACTCATTTAATTAAATGTCTTATCATTTCTTAGTCCTGTTTTGTTAATGAAGGGTTGCTTTAACATAGACTCCATTCTGGCGAAAGGCCTTTCCTTTAAAGGCAAGCATAGATTTTGCGTTTATTTTTGTTTTTTTATTTTATTTTTTTTAAATAACTGGCAATTTAAAGGCCCAATCTCTGAGGACCGATAGAGTGGGGGCCCTGAGGTAGATAATTCCTGAGACTTTTGTCATTTTCTCTTGCTGCATGGTTTGTTACTGAAGGCTCTTCATGGTCTCACCATTTTTGGAGTTTTGACTTACTGATGTGTTTAATAAATTTTAATGAAAGACAGATTGAGAGAAATTGCTGATGGGCCCACATGATTGTACTGTATTCATGCACTGGCTCAGGAGGAAAATCTCTATGAAATTACTCTGAGTTACCTTTGTGGAAAGCCCCGAACTCCATCTTCTAGCTTGTCTGATCTAGCTGGATCAAATCAAAAGTGATTTGCAAAAACTTTTATGTTCTTGGCACATTGCTGTGATTTATTTTTAAGGCATAGAAAGTTGTCCAAATATTAGCACACATATTACAGATTTGGAAGTAAACTGCCTATAGTTATATAGAGCATGGTACGCTTTTCAAAGAAGTTTGTAAAGAATGCGGTTTTACTTGACCAGTGTGTGATAATAAACTCATTTCTTGCATGTGATCATGAGCCTTATTTATAATTCAATAGCAGATGTTTGTTTTCATTGTTAAGTTACAACTCAGACATTCTTGGCTTAACTCCAGTTTTCTCTATATCTCATAAAATTTTTCAAAAAGTTAGAATGAAACTTTCTTTCAGAAGATGCTTCAAATGGGGCCAGATTATTTTAGAAACAGGTTTAATTATCAGAAATTGAGATCTTTGAAGAATCCCTAAATATCATTTTAGTCCATCATTTTCAGCCTCCCCTACTGCTGTCAGACCCACTGACTTACAGGGCAGCAGCACCGCCTTATTAGGGTTCTGGCTCCCAACTCAAGATAATGAGCAGTGTAATGGCTGAGAGCTTGTGAGAAATAGGCGAGGAGCCAAAGGGCCTAGAGTATTTGAAACTAAATAATTAATATTGGAATAATGAGGGATTGACTGTCCATCCTGTTCTGCATCCTGGTCTTTTTGATCAAAGGGTGTCATTTCCTTACTGTTTTACACTATCTTAATTACAACAGCCTATATAAATATTTGGACTTTGAATAGGATGGAAGTGAAAAGGGGATTGGAATAGCATGTGGTCTTTTTTTAAAAAAAATTAGCCCACAGATTTAAAGAATTTAAACACGTTAAATGCAATAGCTCTTCCTGTTTTACAAGTGGAAGAGGGCTTTCCCGCCTCCGCCCCGGTGGTCCTTAACAGTGTGTGTTTTTCTTTTCAGCTTCCAAGTCAGGATTGTTACCTCCACCACCTGCGCTCCCTCCAAGACCTTGTCCATCTCAGGTAGGAGACAACATTGATTTTTGTATACTGTCTTTCCGTAGGGATTTGTCCTCCCACTGTGCTTCCTTTGCATGGGTTGATCACCACTGAACTGACCAATCAGGTTTCCAACATGATGTTTGCACTGGACTGGGAGAGCAGAGCATGGCTGAGTTTCTTCCTATCCAGTCAGCCCCCAGCCTCAGATGGAAGAGACAGTCTCCTTAAGCAAATGTGTGAAGCAGTTCAGTCTTGTCGATAGAGGGTTGCAAGTGGCTTTTCACACAGAGAGGAGCAGAAGGAGTGCCTCTCTGATTGTGGCTAGGGAACATGTATATTCTGTGAAATATGTGTGCATTGAGCGCCTATATTTTCCTTGGTGTTTTAGGAGTGGTATTCTGCATAAATTAAAAATAAATGGTCATCAGCATGGGTTTAGTGCTGTGGTTTGGGTTCACAGTACTTTTTTTAGAATGGTATTTGCCTTTGGGACAGTAAGCTGATCTAGCAGGATTGGAAGAGTGTGTCACCTGAATCTGTTTCACTTGTGAATGAATTCTGCCTTTTTGACATGTGCTACTATGTCTTTATTCATCACTTTTTGTAGAGTTGAAAATGAGAAGCAAGCAGCAAATCCATAGAGTGTGGTAAAGGGTGCTACAGATCCTTCCTTTCATTAATTGCTGCTGAAGAAACTATTTTTAAGGACCCTCTAACAACTTTTGGCAGAAAATGTTGACAAATGTCTCTGTACACAGTCTCATTTTCTACCTCATTGCTCTGGATAATTCAGAGCATACCTTTCCATATGGTGCATCTCAGGACTCGCTGAGTGACTGAAACCACTTTTAACATTGATTTGTCCTTCTCTTAGAGAATTAGGTGGTCTTTAGTATCCACTCAACCTCAAGATGTAAATACCATGAGACATTGGCTTCTTCCTTCAGTTTTCAGGGTAATTAAAAGCCCTATTCCTCCTGACCCACATATAAACAAGTGAGAACTTAGTTTTCCAATAGTCCAGCATTAGCTCTATGAGAGTTTGGTTAACCAACAAGTGTTTATTGAATTTCTCCTATTTATCGCCTGCCAAGCTTTAGTTCAGGGGCTTCCCAGGTGGCACAGCAATAAAGAGTCTGCCTGCCAATGCAGGAGACAAAAGAGATGCCAGTTTGACCCCTGGGTTGTGAAGATCCCCTGGAGTAGGAAATGGCAACCCACTCAGGTATTCTTGTCCGGAAAATCCCATAGACAGAGGAGCCTGATGGGATATAGTCCACGGGGTCACAAAGAGTTGGATAGGACTGAGCATGCGTGCATTACTAACAAAAGCTTTAGTTCCATCCTTGTCCTTCTTTGGCTATGATTTCTACTTATTTAAATTATTCAGTTTAGTCACTCAGTCATGTCTGACTCTTTGCAACCCCATGGACTGCAGCATGCCAGGCTTCCCTGTCCATCACCAAATCCCAGAGCTTGCTCAAACTCATGTCCATTAAGCCGGTTATACCATCCAACCATCTCATCCTCTGTTGTCATCTTCTCCTCCTGCCTTCAGTTTTTCCCAGCATCAGGGTCTTTTCAAATGAATCAGTTCTTTGCATCAGGTAGCCAAAGTATTGGAGTTTCAGCTTCAGCATCAGTCCTTCCAATGAATATTCAGGACTGTTTTCCTTTAGGATGGACTGGTTGTATCTCCTTGCAGTCCAAGGGACTCTCAAGAGTCT